TCCTCAGCCCCTGTCCCCTCAGTCAGCCTCTTTTTGCTTAGTCAGCACTTGTCCCCTACCTCAGCCCGTCACCTTTCCTCAGCCCTGTCCCCTTACTCAGCCCCTGCCCCCCTTTCAGCTCTTGTCCCACCCTTTCTCTGCTCATTTCCCCCCCTCTCAGCTCATACCCCCTTCCTCAGCCCCATACCCCCACTACAGCCCCATAACATCTCTCCCCCAATTGCAACCCATATCACCCACACCACAGCCCCTTTCCCAAATTGTAGCCATCAACCTACTTCAGCCCCTATCCCCCCCTACATTTCCTAAACCCCCAATTACAGCTTATACCCTCCACTACAGCCCCTGTCCCCCCACTACAGCCCTGTTCATTTACTCAGCCCCTGTCTATTGGTTTTAAAAGTGTAACGTTTGGGTGTATGTGTGTGTATGAGTATGTCTGTGTGTGTCAGTATGTCTGTGTGTTTGTGTGTGTCAGTATGTCTGTGTGTGTGTGTGCCAGTATGTCTGTGTGCGTGTACACCAGTATATCTGTCTGTGTGTGCACCAGTATGTCTGTCTGTGTGTGTGCCAGTATGTCTGTCTATGTATGTGCCAGTTTGTGTGTGTGTGTGTGTGTGTCAGCCAGTATGCCTGTGTGTGTGTTTGTGTGTGTGTGTCAGTATGTCTGTCTGTCTGAGTCAGTATGCCTGTAACAGAGTATTTATGTGTGTGTCTGTGTGCCTGTCAGTGAGTATGTGCATGTGCCTGTCAGTGAGTGTGTGTTTTTTAGTGTGTGCCAAATCAGCAAGTGTGTGTGTGCCTGTCATTGAGTGTCTGTTTAGATGACTGCCCCCCTTTCAATCACATGGGAAAGGTGTTTTTACTTGGTGCAATGGGCCACTTGACTGGATTTGCCCCCCAGGCCTAAGGCTGGCAGCCCTCCCCTGAGTGGTAGGGTATTCCTGCTTCTCGCAATATGCTTGTGGTCACTCAGAGGGTTCTGCGCCATTGTAGGGTAGCTCTGGTACAATCTTGATAGATGGTGAGTTGTATTGACTCAAAAGTGTAGGGCGTCTTCCCTTGTAAGACCTGCATGATGGTCTGCTTGTCTTGAAGAGATAAGCATCGTGCTTTGAATGGATTCCTGTGCAGAGGCCACGTCTGTCTGCAGATCTATTACATCTTCTTTGGTGACTTTGACCCTGTAAGCAACCGCTTGGATTACTATTTTGACAACTGCTATGTCTGCAGCGAATAGTTTTTGTATGTTTTGAGATAGGGCTTGCCAGGTTTGTCAATGTCCCTGGTGTTGGTGGGTGCCAACACAGTGGGTTTCTGTGACCTGCGCCCCATGTGTGTGGAGATTTGTGGGGATTCCCTCCGGTCTTGGTGAGAACTATGTGGGTACCTACCCTAATTATGTATGGGGGAAGGTAGTCCTCTACCTTGTGGTGGTGCCGTTTCGTTCCCGGGAAAAATAAAAAGGGTATCAATTAGGAGAGTAAAGTGTCCAGCAGCATTCTGGCAACTTCTCATTTGGCACTGATGCGTGATCCGGTAGATATTGGTGAGATTCTGTGCAGTGTTGCAGGAGCTCAACAGTATGGCGTCTGCTCCATCCCGCAGTCAAACTCCGCCCCCCCCCCCCTTTGATGTTTGATGCATTTTAAGCACACATAGCATAAACTTAAAACAAGTAATACATATATTTACAGTTTATTGTATTATTCTGTGGACTGTATTATAAAATGTGTTATCTGATCGTTCTTATTTAACTCTAAATTTTTCATTATAAAAAATAATTGAGGTGAATTTATCAAATTCTAAAACTCACCTTTAAGTTCCATTTTTATATTAAGCAATTCTAAGGCAATCTCTCTTTTACTTCTTTCTCAGATATGATACCTTCTTAGACATGATTGAATTAATGTACAACACAAAGCACAGCAAGAATTTAACTGTTCTGTGTTTCATCTATGAAGACATAAAATATAGACTGGCTTGGATGGTTGTTGGTCAGTATCCCTGCTGAGACAAGAGAAAGATAGGTATAGACAGGATAGCCACAAAAGACATCACACTACAGCTGTCACCCACCAGTTTCTTCATAAAGTTTTACTCAATAACACAGCCTAACTTTAGGTTGCATAGAATAGAAAAATTATTAACAGTTCTAGTTTAAAGAAGTTTCTACAGCAGCAGAGGGCCAGTAGATGAATAAGGCACAACCAAAAATAAATTGCATAGCTTTCACAGGTTAACGAAAAGTTCATGATCCAGTCACATGATGATACATATCTCTCTACTCTGCTCTCTCTCAAGGCTCTTAAAATATACCTATGAGATACAGAACATATAAATGTGTGTGTCTGTATGCATATAGGTTTGTGTGAAATTATGCAGAGGCAGATTTAGGTTGCCTAGTTTCCTGTACAGGGTGCCAGATTGGCTCTGTTTATGTGACTGGTATCTGGTGACTGAGTGTTGTGATTTGTAAGGGATGATGCTTAGTGTGACTGTATTTGCTGGTTGCATGGGGCGTGTGTGTGTGTGTGTGTGTTTCCAGCCTATATTACCTGGTGGTGAGCTGGATCTCTGGGGAGCTTCATCATTTGCACCAGTGTGAGGTGCAGACCAATTTAAGAGCACCCTTCCAGTGCTGAGTCATCAAGTAGATTGCAATGATCGGAATGGTACCCTGAAAGTGGTCTGTACTTAATATGGAGCAGGGGGAGGATAAACACACAAAGAAATGCTGGGGGAAGCAGGGGCATACCTAGAGCATTTGGCACCCAGGGCGGATCTTGTGTTTGGCACTCAGTTCATTAGTAGTGTTGTTCCTAAGCAACTCAGACAACTAAAAATATTGATATCTGTCATGGAAGCCACACTCTGTGCTTTCTGGAGTGCCAAAGTTAGAGCTTTTACTGTCTCATAGTAATATCCTTTCTCACGTTAATACATTCTGTGAAGAGAGCAGACCTCCATCTTTGGGAAAGAACACTCTCTGACTCATAGCAACGTTAAACCATCACTTTGCTTTGTGTGTTATATTGTGTTAATCACAGGCACCTAGAGAAATTGACCTTCTAAACTTTGCTCATAAAATATTTCAGTCAAACATGAGGTAGAAAATACTTTTTGCTAGGTGTATACATAGAGAGCCATGATGTTTTTTTTTCCCAAAGTGATAACAAGCAAGCCAATGGAAACCAGTGACAATTACATTCTGTTTACTGCATACTTGGGCCCACCTGGTCCCTATGGCATGATTATGGTACTCATGGAAGATGTTCTAACTTTATGGCCCAGCAGAGTACTGTTCAACATTATATGAAACAAAGATAAGGTCTAAAAAGATCCACCTTGGCAAATGAATTAAGCTGAAGTGGTCTGGGTGCCTAAAGTGGTCCTTTAACATCCAGGAAGCACCTCTAGTAGCTGTCTGGTAAGCAGCCACTGGAGGCAGACTTAGTGCTGCAATGTAAACATTCCAGTTTCTCTAGGGACACTGTACCCAGGCCACTTTAATGAGCTGAAGTGGTCTGGGTGCCTATAGTGAATGCTAATGGAAGGGGTTCTTTCATGCTCAATCCTGCAGCATGTATCATTCATGTTTATTCCATAAAAACATGATTTGCCAAATCTTGCCTAATTTTTGCATTGATGTAATGCTTGATTCAATATAGTAGTCCAATCTCTCTCAGTTTTGGAAGAATGGAAAAAATGCATTTTTACAGACTTTCTACACTTATCAGATTGGGTGGTTTTTTTTTCGTTTGTTTTTTTCAACAGTGATAGTGAGCATTCATAATTTTTTCAAAGTGTCAAAAGTCTATCATCATAAGTACTCATGTCTCTTAGCACATGGTAACTTTTTAAAAAGCAGAATTCGCATTGCATCCAAAGCAGTAATCGCTTCCATCGAGGGAAAAGAAATGTTAATCTGCTTCCCGTGCCGCATTTAATTAACATAACTTTTAATAAAGTAATCATTTTCCTTTAAAGATAGTTTGTCAGTAGAGAAATGGGAAGTGAAATGGTTTTACACACAAATATGTGAGATAACACAACTTAGTAAGAAATTTGTTTAAAAAGAAGTAGAAAATAAGAAAAGACAATAGTTTAAACCATTGTGGCCTGGTAGAAGCAATGGATTTCATTATTAACTCACATAAAAGATAAATGAGTTATTCACAAAATGGGGAATTAAATTGACAAGAGAGTAACTCATTTTAGGCCAAATAGCCAAAGTGAAAATATTCTCAAGTTTAATTATGTTTTCAACTTGACAATCGTGGTTTAAAAAAAATAAATTGCATTTCTCTTGTCAATTAACTATTCAAAGTTTGGTGCATAAATCCCAAAAGTATTAGTGAAATAATTTAACACCCAAGGCTTATTTTTAATGTTGTCACTACTTTGAGCCGGTAAGCACTAAAATGCCTATGGCTACTGCCTCTAGCCTGGTACAAAGTGCTTAACGACAATAGGAAAAAATACATGCTAGCTGTCTGGTACTACATAGAACCTGGTCTATACCATTTCAAACCATATAAAAATGCAGTAAAATGAAAGAAGATGATGTAAAACATGAACTTATTCTTTAACATGTAAAGTGCATGTGTCACTTAAAGGGGCGCTATAAGAACCAAACTAGTTCCTCTCAATGAAGTGGTCTGGGTGCCATGTCCATGGAGTTTTAACCCTGCGACTGCAAACACTGTCGTACTACAGGGACAGCAGGGTTTACAGTGCAGGGTTTAAATGTCTCTAGTGGCTGTCAGCAGCGTGTAGTTTTGCCGTGCATGCTCTCTAGATTCATAGTGCTTTCCGAGGGTTTTCCAACTTTTTCTCTCCTCTGTTTCTCAGGAGATCTAACTCACGTTTTGGATTTACTGGTAGTAGAAGATTCTTTGTAGGGGCGTGGCCAAGTGGCGGAACGGAATGGCGGCTTAAGCGCAGAGCTCCTCTGACCCGGCTCTGCCGATCATAAGACCGCAGCCTCAGCCACCGACATGGGGAAGCACTCGAAGTCGGAGGGCACCCCTAAACCCACAGGTGCACTCCAGCCCGCGATCAATGCCTCTATGAGGCAATACCTAACCACCCAACCGGACCCGGACTCCCAGGCTCCTTCTGAGGCCTACCTCTATTCTGATGCCTCAACGCCGAGCCAGGGCTCACCGGGCAGAGAGGAACACATGGAGCCCTCTGAGCCACCACCAGAAGATTGGATGACCCTGCTGAGGGCCCTACCAACAAAGGCAGACCTCAATCAGGTGACCTCAGCTTTGCACGCTTCCATCAGGGCAGATCTGCAAATGATGAGAGCAGACCTGCAGGGCATGGCGGACCGCATGGCCCGCGTGGAAGCAGACCACAACACTCTTACAGCAGCCCAGACTGCAGCTGCATCCACACAGAAACGCCAAACAGCACAGCTACAAGCCATGGCACGCCATACTGAAGATCTTGACAACACGGGCCGCAGGCAGAACCTGAGAATCGGGCCTACCCGAAGGTAATGAGACTCCTACCCAACTCATTGACACGCTCACCTCTCTATTCAATGGCCTCCTGAACCGCCCCAGAGAAACACCAATAGAATTTGTCCGGGAGCACAGAGCCCTGAGACCTAGAGGCCCCGTCGAGGCACCACCAAGGGATGTCATTTGCTGACTGGCCCTATACCCCCTCAAAGAGGACATTCTACATGCAGAATGTAACAAAGGAGACATCACGCACAACGGGCAACAATTCGACTGTTCCCAGACCTGTGCCCAGCAACGCTAAGCTACCGCAGAGCACTGAAACCTCTCACCCGGGCATTGGTGGCACAGAGGGTGAGATACCGATGGATCTTCCCAACAGGACTGACGGCCATCACTCCAGGGGGGCCACGACAGATACGCACCCAACTAGACCTACAGGAGCTATCGGAGGAGTTACAACTACCACCTCTATCCATGGCCTGGCCGGACCCACTAGACTTCTACAACGGCCCCACCACACCACAAACGGGATTGCCTCAACCACAGAGAAGGACCAGGTCCAGGCTAGAGACCGTGAGGCAAGCGGGAGCCACACACTAAGGGATGCCATGGACCCTCACCAGCAACGACGACCATGTAACTATAACCTGAGACATTCTGGGACTATGCTCCATACATTTAACAGGGCCTGTCTAGACGGACCTACCACACCATAGAGGGCCACACATCCAGGGCCCTACCAAACAGGGTAGAGGAAGATGGGGAGGGGACAAGGAAAAGGCACTGGGACACAAACCGAACCTACTCAATCTGTGCTTTAAGTACCTGAAAGGAGAACATTTGCAGTTACACACTACTGGCGGACTGTAAGCCGATGGGGACTGGAGACAACGGGGGGGAGGGAAAAGACTGGTGCGGCCAGAGCGACAACAACTTCACCTACACCTTTCTCTATATTTGTATTCAAGTATTGTTTATTTTTGTTTTTTATTATTTGTTCATAGTTACTGTTGGCTGTCAAGTATGGCTGCGGCGTCCGCAGGGGATGACAGAGCCAGGCTACCCCCAGAATTCCCATGGAAAGGTAAAGCACACGAGCACTAACTCCCGAGGCCAAACCAGACCGCTCCCGCCCCGGCCCCTCACCGGACCACCCACTGCACACGCACGCACGCTCCGGCCTTCACGGCTACACCTGAGGCTGTGGCATGTCCATGCCCGCCATAATGGAGGAGTTCAAAACATAGGGTGCGCTATCCAATTTTAAAATCAATTTTACAAAGTCGACAATCCTTAATGTCTCGGTCCCAACCCCAGAAGCGACAACCCTGAAACAAATACTGCCCTTCCAGTGGTCAGACACCTCCCTGAAGTACCTAGGCACTGTGATCACAAAAGACCTCACCCAACTCTACCTAGCCAACTTCCAGCCACTCCTGAACACAATACGCAAAGACCTAGAAGGGTGGACAAAGCTCTGCCTCTCCTGGTTCGGATGGATAGAGGTACTCAAAATGAATATCCTGCCTAGAATACTTTATCTGTTCCAAACCCTCCCCATCACCCTCCCGGAGGCCTTCTTCACATCCCTACGCTCTATGGCCCTCAAGTTCACATGGCATAACCTCAAAGTACAGATCAAACACAATATCCTCACAATGCCAAAAATGAAGGCGGGCCTTGCCCTACCAGACTTGCAGGTGTACCACAGAGCCACACATATTCAAAGAATAGTGGAGTGGACCAAAACGGGAGTCACCAAACTATGGAAGGACATTGAGTCAACACTGGTCGACAGACCGATCTCAGTCCTCCCATGGCTAGACTTCCAACAAGGCAGACACCTGGCCTCCCCACACCCACTCATTAAAGCGACCTTGCAGATCTGGCATAAGCTAGCGACACCATCATCACATACTACCTCACCATTCCCACTGCTCCCCCTAAACCATAATAATGCCTTCCGCCAGGGCTGGAAGCGAGCCCAATCCAACGCCTAGTAGTACAGGAAACACCCAGGATCGGCCATGCCATGGAAAATGGCAAAATGCGACCCCTGGAGTCCATGGTGCAGACTGAACGACAGTCGTTCATGATGCGCTTCAGATACAAGCAACTAATCGACTATGCACTCTCGGTAACCAAGGGTAATTGCAAGCACAGAACACACTAGCACCCCATACAACCCCCCTGCAGACCCGCAAGCCACACAGCCAAGTTAATTACCCAATATGGGTCATACCCGCGAAAGAATTAACGGTTACATGAAGTTTAAACACAGCACGTAAGAACACAAACACCAATGACTGTTTATAGAACGTTTAAATAGGACTAGAAAGAGAAAAAGGGATCTGCCAGAGGAGATAAACCCCAACAGAAACAGTGAGCCTAAGGGTGGTGGGGGTGGTGAGGCTGAGGGTGGTGGGGGTGGTGATGCTGAGGGGGTGGTGAGGCTGAGGGTGGTGGTGAGGCTAAGGGTGGTGGTGAGGGAGTTGGGGTGGTGGGAAGGCTGAGGGTGGTGGTGAGGCTGGTGGGGGGGTGGGGAGGCTGAGGGGGGTGAGCAGAACCTACCTTTATTCCCTGGTGGTCCAGTGGGCTCCCTGGTGGTCCGGTGGCCACTGCTTCCGGTCTGCAGCTCCACAGAGCTGCAGACCATGTAATCTCGCGAGACCATCGGAGCGTTGCCATGGTAACCCACGGCAACGCTCTGATTGGCCGGTTTTCGCGAGACACATGGTCTGCAGCTCTGCTCACTGTGGAGCTGCAGACCTGTGCCTGCGGTGGCTGGCCGGGCAGCCAGGAGGGGCCTTGCCCCTCCTGGTGTCAGGTCCTCGGTCAGTGACCGAGGACCTGACAGAGTCTGCCATAAGGCGGTTTAGGCGGCCGTGAGGCCCCAGCCAGCGCGAGGCCTTAGGCGGCCGCCTAAACCGCCTAATTAGAGAGCCGCCTCTGGTTAGAAATACACATTTGTCTTCCTAATGCTGTCATGTTCCTTTAAATGAAGAATTCACACACCACACATTCACAAAGGTAGATGTAGATATATATCTGGCTTAGCACAAAATCTCAGTTTAATACATTGTATAAATTGTCTCAATCTCCAGCTAAGGCCAATCACAGGGTGAAGTACCATGCTCAGGGTAAGCCTTTTTGCAGGCAAGGTGTGGTTGCAATGGTGACAACTTCCACAGCAAGTGGCTAACCCTCATGTGGCTGATGTACTTGTGAGCAGAAATTAGCCAGTAAAAAATAACAAAGATTTTAAACCATTTGACAGCATTAAAACCCTTGTCAATTATTTACAATCATTGATTTAATGAATATACCCCTTCAAAGTACTGGACAAAATATTAATTGTGAAAGAGTTAAATTTCTAGATAAATAAAGACAAATAATAATGGGAATACTGATGTAGAAACATTAAGTAAACAAAAAGTTTTGCAATGATTTTGCATTGAATTATCCAAAAAATAAAAACAAATATTAACCTGACCTTACTCTCTAAAGAATGCAGACTTTGAAAATCTTCCTTATCTCCCTGCTCCTACTGCTTAAAGTCTTGTATTTTTAATCCACTAAAGCCAGTTGTTCTAGCAGTTCCGTGAGATTCCCACTGTTCATAAATTACAACTCTGCAAACCCTTATTAATGGGTTTTTATCTGATTAAGACAATATTTACCAAAATTACATTGGAAATTAATACACTGCAAGTAAGAGTAAGACGGGGTTCTGTCTCATATCTCATTATCTCCAACTGAGTCAGCACCGAGAATAGAGAAGGAAAGCTCAGTTGTAATTTGTAGTCTGAGACACTCTCCTGCTGTCTTAATAACTACTGCAGACTGTATCATTTTAAGCAGCAGCTTAAGGGCACCCATGAAGCCTACAAGGGTAAATATATATAAGTTGTTTTTTTTTTGTTTTTTTTTTAAGAGAACAAATATTATTGTTTTAGGTGGCACTATATCAAGAGAGATTGATAGTTTTCTTTTTTTCTTATTTTTATCTGCAGAAAAAACAAATGTATATAATAATACAGAAAATTGTACATGGAATTAAATAGAGGGAGAATTTACAAGTTCTAACCATATGTTATTCTAGAGCAAATGCTGTAGAATACAGTTGAAAGAGTCTTACTGCTTGGAGACCCTTGTTTTTAGATGTGGTCAGCAGAGAAAACCTAGAGTTCTCATTATTGATTACATGTAAATATCTAAATGTCTAAGGAATAGGGAGTGATTGTTGCTAAAACAGAGTAGTCTGCATAATTCACAATAATGCAGGTTGGCTACCTGGCACAGCATCATATTTAGCTTAAAGAATGCATTGTGGTTTTCATTTTTACTTCTGCTGAAGAAACCAAAGATAAAAATGTATTTTAAATAAACTTTAATATATATGACTAATTACTGGGGTTCCATGTTTTTCTATACAGTACTGCAAACTTACTGAACAGCAAGGCTACCCAGATGTTTAGTGTCAGTCTAAAAAAAATATTAATTATAGAAAAATTGTTGTTATTGGGGTATGGGTTCAAATTAGGTTGGATATGCTTAAAATTGACAAAATATGGTCCTAATTGGTCTGAATTTTATTAAATTTAATATATTTTAATAAAAATATTTCCATATGGCACAATTCCTTACCACACTACTCAGTCACTCATTTCTCGTGTTGTACAAAGTCATGACCCGGTATAAAAAGTAAAGGGTTACTCGGAGCACCATGGCCACTTCAGTAAGTTGAAGTGGTCATGGTGCATGTAGTCTGTATGTGCGCCATTTTGTTCTGAAATGCTGTACATGCAAAATGTAACCATCTGCTGCTGGGGATGTACTCAACCTAACGTTGTGGGCTGTTTAATGTTATTCTGTGCATATTCCTATGCACAGAATTGCATTCATTGGCTGATATTTTCATTTGTCAGCTGACATTCTCAGCCAATGAATGTCATCACTGGCCGTAGGAGGACCCTCTGCACCTAGTGGGGACCCAGATAAGAGGGCAAACCATTGCAAAACGGTTTGCCCCA